ATGAGAATGTTAGGCTGTAAATGGGATGTCTTTATCAAATCCCTCCCATCAAGGCTCAGGATCTATGTAGGAAAGAAGCAAAAGATTTTAAGAGTCAGAGGTGGTGGATAACGCTAAGAAAACTGTGTTTTCCAGATTTAGCATACCTGACACACATCTGAACTCACAAAAAGAATGCTCAGAACCCACACAATTTCAAGCCATACAAACTTCCAGCATGAACAAAGTTCCACCCCTATTCAAGCAACTATCAGCAATTTTTATCCACAAGAGCAAGAAATTTTTCTTCAATGGAGTAATGCTAGGTACACTTTAGGGCAGGCTACATCCTCAGAAGTAACTAACCAACACTGGCTCCATGCTTTTTATATGCTTTTTTTAATTTGCTTGCTTGCTTGCTTTGGTTTGGTTTGGTAGAGTTTCTTTTTGTTTGTAGTTACTGTTGCTTGTTTGAAAAAAGGTAGAAACAGGATACTGGATGGTGAAAAAAGGGAAGACCTGGGAGGAGTTAGGTGAGGAAAGAGAATATGATCAAAATATATTGTATGAAAATTTTTAAACTAGAAATAAATTGCAAAACCTTGTGCATAGCAAGAGAAATAACTGAGTGAAAAAAAAAGACAACAAAATGGAATAGGATTTTTGCCAGATACTCATCTGGCAACAGTTTAAATTCAGAATATACAAAAAGCTCAATTCAAAAACTTCACCAGCAAAAGAACAAATAAACTACTCAGTAAGTAGACAAGTGAGCTGAAATGACAGTTCTCACCAGAATTACAAAAGGCCAATAAAAACATAGAAAATGTTCAATATCTTAAAGGAATATTCAATATTTTGTGTTCAATGTCATAAAGGAAAACAAAAATCCAAATTAAATTGAGATTGTACCTTACTCCAGCTAGAATGCCTATTAACAGGGTAAATATCCCATACTGATAAGGAATGGGATAGGAATAACACTTCCTCAAGATCCAGCCATACCACTCCTAGGCGTATACCCAAAAGAGGCTCAAGTACACAATAAGGACATTAGCTCAACCATGTTTGTAGCAGCTTTATTTATAATAGCCAGAAACTGGAAACAACCCAGATGTCCCACAATGGAGGAATGGATACAGAAATTGTGGTACTTTTACACAATGGAATATTACTCATCAATAAAAAAAACAAGGAAATCATGAAATTTGCAGGTAAATGATAGGAACTGGAAAAGAACATCCTGAGTGAGCTATCCCAGGAGCAGAAAGACACACACGGTATATACTCACTCATATAGACATATAATATAGGATAAACCTACTAAAATCTGCATACCTAAAGAAACTAATCAAGAGGGAGTACTCTTGCTAAAATGCTCAATCTCTATCCAGAAAGGCAAAGAGGATGGACATCAGAAGAAGGAGAAAATTGGGAACAAGTCAGGAGTCTGACACAGAGAACCTTTGAAAGACTCTGCCCTGCAGACTATCAATGCAGATACTGAGACTTATGGCCAACCTTTGGGCAGAATGAAAGAAATCTTATGAAAGAAGTGGGAAACAGTAAGATCTGGAAAGGACACAAGGAGAGCAACAGAACCAAAAAATCTGAGCACAGGGGTCTTTCCTGAGACTGATTCTCCAACCAAGGACGATGCATGGAGATAACCTAAGACCCCTGCACAGATGTAGCCCATGGCAGCTCAGTGTCCAAATGGGTTCCATAGTAATAGGAACAGGGACTGTCTCTGACATGAACTGATTGGCCTGCTCTTTAATCACCTCCCCCTGAGGGGAGAGCAGCCTTACCAGGCCACAGAAGAAGATACAATGCAGCTACTCTTGATGAGACCTAATTGACTAGGATCAGAAGGAAGGAAAAGAAGACCTCCCCTATCAGTGGACTTGGGGAGGGGCATGTGTGCAGAGGGTGGAGGAAAGGAGGGATTGGGATGGGAGGAAGGAGGGAACCACAGGGGGGATACAAAGTGAATAAAGTGTAATTAATAAAGATTTTTTAAAAAGATAAAAAAAGAATGGGAGTGCAGGAGGGAGGAACCATTTACCTTGTTGGTAGGAATGTAAGTTAGTCTAGGTGTTATGAAAATGTGATATACCAATATAATAGAATATTTCCAACAAAAAGGAATAAACCAAATACATGCCCAAAGTGGCTGAAATTTGAGAGAAAGTATGCGAAATGAAAGAAGTTAGACAACAAAGACCATGTTTTGTATGGATTTATTTATTTCAGCAATCCAGAATAGAGACATCCAAGAAGGGAGAAAATAGATGTGTGTCACAGAACAGACAACTATCCCTAATTATTGACAGCCTTTCCTAAATGTTTACTTCAAGCTTGAGAAGTAACTGATAAGTTAACCCCCACTACATACACCGCCAAAGCCATACATTCCAGTAATCTGCCGGAGGAGGCTGCAGGCCAATGCTGCAGGCATTCTCCCTCCACGAGACAAAAACCGAAGGACTGTGTGATTATCGTCATCCTGCTACCTTAGTGTTTTCTATTCAAAAAGATATTTGCCATTTTCTTAAGGAGAGGGTCCGATACTTACACTTAACATTGACAATGACTTTTCCCTGACATGGACATGTACAATTACAAGTCTGGCTGCACTGTCTTCCTCTGTGGCCTGGCAAGGCTGCTTTCCCCAGGGGAGGTGATCAGAGAGCAGGCCACTAACTACACAGTGTTTTCTCAGTGTTAAAATGTACTAAATATTAGTTCACTATTATTTCACCTCTTTAAGAGTATTAGTTTTAGGATACTAAAATTCTTCTAAATGTTGGTCATTCATTAATTCTATGAATCTTAAAAGTATTAGATATTGGCAATTCAAAAAGTTGTCACTTAGACAAAAACACAAACCTGTAAATAGAATTACATTTAAATACTTGAGGGGCTGCCAAGATGACTCAGTGGGTAAAAGTACTTGTCACCAAGCCTGGTGGGCCAAGTTCAATCCTCAGACCCATATGGTTGAAGGAGAAAAATGACGTCCACACGTTGTTTTCTAGCCTACTAAGTGCTCATGTGCATGTGCATGCACGTGTACACACACACACATACATACATACA